CCCAAATGGGAAGACAAAGAAACAGGCCTCAAATGAAAGAACAAAAGAAGTCTCCAGAAGAACTAAATGAAATGGAGGCAAGCAATTTAATAGATATAGAGTTTAGAGTAATGATAATAAGGATGCTCAACAGCATGTAAAAAAGTTATTAATAGACTTTTAAGTCATAAAAGGATTAAAAGTCATAAAAACAATTAAAAAGACTAGTCTGAAATAAAGAATGCAATATTTGAAATAAATAATATGCTGGAAGAAATAAACAGGAGGTTAGATGATGCAGAGAATTGAATCAGCAATTAAGAAGACAAAGCAGAAAAAAACAACCAAGAAGAACAGTTAAAAGAAAAAAATTAAAAATGAGGAGAGTTTAAGAAACCTTTGGAGCAACATGGGAACACCAGAAAAAAGAGTGAGCAAGGAACCAAGAACTTATCTGAAGAAATACTGACTGAAAACTTCCCTAATGTGGTGAAGGAAAAAGATACAGAAGTCTAGGAAGTGCCGAGTCTCAAACAAGATGGACCCAAGGAGGCCCACTCCAGGACACATCAAATTAAAATGACAAAGCTTAAAAACATAAAAGCCATAAGAGAAAAGCAGGTAGTTACCTACAACAGAGTTCCCATAAGACTGTCATCTAATTTCTCAACAGAAACATTTCAGGCCTGAAGGGATTGGTATGAAATATTCAAGGTGAAGAAAAGCAAGGAATTATAACCAAGGCTACTTTACCCAGTAAGGCTATCATCCAAAACTAAAGAAGAAATAAACAGCTTCCCAGACAAGAAAAAGATAAAGGAGTTAGTTACCACCAACTCAGTATTACAACAAGTATTACAAAGCTTGCTCTAAGAAGAAAAACAAAAACAGAGAAAAATAGTAGAGAATAAAATAGCAATAAATACATATCTATCAAGAATCACCTTAAATGTAAATGGCTTTGCTGCTCCAAAGTCATAGGGTAGCTGAATGGATAAGAAAACAGGACCTGTCTCCAAGAGAACCACCTCAGATTGAAAGATACACATAGACTAAAAGTAAAGGAATGGATAAAGACATTTCATGTAAATGGAAAGGAAAAAGAAGTTAGGGTAACAATATTTATATCCAACATAATGGAGTTTAAAACCAAGGCTATAGTGAAGGACAAAGAAGGGCACTACATAATGACAAAGGGAATAATTCAGCCAGAGGATATAACTCTAGTAAACATTTATGTACCCAATATAGAAGCACCTAAATATGTAAAGCAAATCTTGATAGACCTTAAGGAAGAAATGAAATAAATACAGTCATAGTTGGGGATTTTAACATCCCATTGACTTCAACAGATACATCTTCCAGACATAAAATCAACAAGGAAACAGTGGACTTAAGTGACACACTAAACCAAATGAATTTAATTGATACCTACAGAGCATTTCACCCCAAAGAAGCAGAATATACATTCTTTTCAAGTGCACATGGAATGTTTCTAGGACAGACTACATGTTAGGACACAAAAAAAGTCTCAATAAATTTAAGAAGATTGAAATCATATCAAGCATCTTCTCTGACCACAATGCCTTGAAACTAGATATCGACCACAACAAGAAAACTGAAAAGTGCACAAAGACATGGAAGCTAAATAACATATTATTAAACAATGAATGGGTCAATAATTAGACCAAAGAAGAAATCAAAAAATACCTTGAAACAAATTAAAATGAAAACACAACAGCCCCAAATCTGTGGCATATTGGAAAAGCCATCCTAAAAGGGAAATTAATAGCATTACAAGCCTATCTCAAGAAATAATAAAGAACTCAAATAAACAATATAATTTTTGTACTTAAAGGAACTTGGAAAAAACCAACAAAGCCCAAAGTGAATAGAAGGAAGGTAATAAGAAAGATCAGAGCAGAAATAAACAAAATAGAGTGTAAAAATGATGCAAAAGATCAATGAATCAAAGAGCTGGTTCTTTGAAAAGATAAACAAGATTGACAAATCTTTAACCAGACTTATCAAAACAAAAAAGAGAGAGAAGTCAAATAACTAAAATCAAAAATGAAAGAGGAGAAATAACAACTAACACTGAAGAATTACAAAGGACTGTAAGAAAATATTATGAACAATTATATGTCAAAAAATTGGATAACCTGGACAAAATGGATAAATTCCTAGAAACATACAGTGTTCCAAAACTGAATCAGGAATAATCAGAGAATCTGAATAGACAGATTACACCTACTGAAATTGAAGTAGTAATCAAAAACTCCCAACAAGCAAAAGTCCTGGGCTTCACAGGTAAATTTTCTGGGAACTAATACCTCTTCATCCCAAAGTTTCATAAAATTCGAGAGGGAAGACTCCCAAATCCATTTTATGAAGTAAACATTATCCTAATTCTGCAACCACCTAAAGACATTACAAAAAAAGAAAATTACAGGCCAATATCCCTGATGAACATAGATGCTAAAATCCTCAACTTAAAGATTAGCAAACTGAATATAACAATACATCAAAAAGATTATACACCAAGATCAAATAGGATTTATTCTGGGAATGCAAGCTTGGTATAACATTTGTGAATTAATAAATGTGATTCACCACATAAACAATATGAAGGATAAAAATCACATGTTCATATAACTAGATGCAAGAAAAGCATTTGATAAATCCAGCACCCATTTATGATCAAAACATTCAGCAAGGTGGAAGTAGAGGGAACATACCTAAACATAATAAAAGGCATATTTGACAAAGCCACGACCAGCATCATACTCTATGAGCAAAAACTACAAGTATTCCCCTTAAGATCAGGAACAAACAGGGATGTACATTTCACCTCTCTAATTCAACATATAGTACTGGAAGTCCTAGCCACAGCAATCAGACAAGAAGAAATAAAGGGTGTCTAAATTGGAAAGAAGTTAAATTGTCATTATTTGCCGATGACATGATACCGTACATAGAGAACCCCAAAGATTCCACCAAGAAACTACTAGGCCTGATAAGTGAATTCAGCAAAGTACCAGGATAAAAAATTAATGTCCAGAAATCTAGTTGCATTTTTACATGCCAATAATGAACTAACAGAAAGGGAAATTAAGAAAACAACCCTATTCATAATTACTTCAAAAAGAAATAATCGAAGATGTAAAAGACCTGTACTTGGAAAATTATGAGACACTGAGAAAGAAACTAAAGATACAAATAAGTGGAAGCATATACTGTGCTCATGGACAGGAAGAATTATCATCATTAAAATGCCCCTACTACCCAAATCAATCTATATATTCAGTGTAATTCCTATCAAGATGCCAATGGCATATTTCACAGAACTAGAACAAATATTCCAAAAATGTGTATGGAACAATAAATGCACCGAAATTATAACAGCGATCTTGAGAAAGAAGAACAAAGTTGGAGAAATCAACTTTTTCATATTAAGCTACTTAATATGAAACTATACTATAAGGCCATAATAATCAAAACAGCATGGTATATACACATAGATCAATGGTACAGAACAGAGAGTCCAGAAATAAACCCACACTTTTATAGTCAGTTAACATTTGACAGAGGAAATAAGCACATACAATGTAAAAACATGTTTATCTGATACATTTATATATTACAAAATAATTGTCATGATAGCTCTAGCTGACATCTAATTACCATTACTTTTTTGTTTTAAGAACATTTAAGATCTGCTCTTTTAGCAACAATCAAGTTTTACATAGAGTATTATTAGCTATAATCACCACGCTATACATTAGATCCCCAGCACTCGGTAATCTTATAACTTTAATCATCATCTCCCCATTTTCCCCATCTCTTAGTCTCTGTTTCGCTTTGGCTTTTTACATTCCACATATAAGTGATACAGTATTCATCTTTCTCTGATTCTTTTACTTTACATAGTGCCATAAAGTTTCATCCAAGTTGTCACAAACAAAAAGATTTTCATATCTTGGCAATGTAAATAGTACTGCAAATAAACACAGAGAGCGTATGTCTCTATGAGATCCTGATATATACCCAGAAATGGGATTGCTGGATCATATGGTAGTTCTACTTTTAACTTTTTGAGGAACATCCATATCATTTTCTATAGTGGCTGAATCAAATTACAATCCCACCAGCAGTGTGTAAGTGTTCTCTTTTCTCCATATCCTTGCCAACACTTATCTCTTGTCTTTTTGACAAGAGTCCCAAGATTGTGGGGTGATATCTCATTGTGATTTTGCTTTGCATTTCCATAATAATGAGTGATGTTGTGCACCTTTTCATGTACATATTGGTCAGCTGCATAGTTTTGTTTTTTGGAAAACTATCTTAGTAAGTGGTGGAGCCCCTTAAGATATAGTCCTAGGGAACTTTTAGTCATATAAAATATACATACTAATTACCAACATTTAATTACAGGGAATCAATAATATTTCAAAAATCAGACTAAACAGAGTATCTTGAGAGGGTGTAGTTCAAGTAACAGAGAAACATTTTATGAAAGCATCATATGCCAAAGTAATGTCTTTTGGGAGTTTTATTCATATGTTTACCCCATTTCAACTCCAACTGATTTTTATCAATATCTAATTGTGCTTAATGCTGTAAAAATGGTCTGCCTAAAATATAGACACATTATACATACTCAAGATTTTTTTATAAAATAATTTTTTGCAATTTTGTTTCTTAACAGTAGAACAATTACTTGATATTTGAGTTGAAGGTGAGGGAAGAAAAAATCTAAAAGTAATTGCTTTTGTAAGTCTAGACCATCACATAGCAGAAAATCAATAAGGGCAGTGATTCCACACTAGGAAATTAAATGTACTAGCTCTGGTCTCAAATATTGGTCATGAGAAAAAATACAATGCAGTTCATAATATTTATATTTTGTTTGAATATTTACAGCTATTGTTATAACTCCATATCAGAAAGTTAATAATTAATGCTCATGATGACAACAAAAAATAACACTTTGATTATATTACACTTTCTTTTTATTCTAGGTTCCCACTTCTGTTGCCTTTACTGGAGCAGGAGTATGTGGCCCAAAGAATTGTAAATGCTATTTTAGAGGAACAAATCTACTTAATGATGCCAAGATTTATATATTTTGGAATGATCCTTAAACAGTAAGTTAATAATGACTTCTCTATCATTTTGATTATTTTTAACAAATTATCCCATCATTGCTACATCTTTTGCCAGAAAACAACTTCGTATTTTTTAATGGTAAAAGGAAGAACTTCCATTGCATAAGGACAATATATTGGACTATGGCTAGTTGTGTTTTGGTTTTTCCAGACACTGAGAAAATTTAGCCATATATTATGCCTCAAAGAATATAAAGTATTTACTTCAAGAGAAACAAATAGCACCCAAATAATAATAATAATAATAAAATTATATTATCATTTATTATATTATTATTTATTATTTATTATATAATATGATTATATATTAATTATAGTACAATTGGTTTTGCAATTTATTATGTATTGTTTATTATTATTATTATATTAATTATTATTATTATTATGGTGGTTGTTATAATTGGTTAATTCTTTTGGATCAACTAATATAGAGTTCTATTTTGAAAACAAAAAAAAATCTGAATGTTTTGCCAGAAAAAATATTAAGGATTTCTGGTAAGTTCACTGTTTCCTTTAGCAAAAGGGCACCTACAACTTCATACAAGCCAATGCTGTGAGCTCCAGAGTATTTGTGAATGCATTTGGCCCAGGTCCACTGTCTGCTCTGGAGAGAAAGGAGAACACCATTTACCAGATGCCTACATGTGCCAGACTGTGTGATAGTTTTGCATGCATTTTATCACACTTAGAGAATCTAGGATTTAATGAGAATAAGTAATTTGTGCAGAGTTAACGAGCTAAATCCTGGAACAAAGTTGCAAACAAAAATTTCAACTTCATAACAGATCTTAAACTCTGACCATCAGGATATACTCCTCCCCTGCTGTAAATTACTGACACAGTAGAAAACACAACTGGTGCTTCACTTTTATAAAATTATTAATAAATATAGTACTTTTGTTACTATATTTATACCTTATTCAAAATAGTTTTGTGACATGTTAGGTTTATTCATGCATTCACTGAACATGTACACACATAGGAAGTTATAACATGGTACCTGCTATTCATCCACACTTACGAGCTGCCTGGACAAATCAGCTATGTCAAAGCTTCTGATGCCTTTTTTAGCACTCACCACACCTATGGTTACTTGTATAACAACTATCCTTACTGCTAGACTGCATGCTCCCTGAGAAGAGGACACATTTTCTGAATTGTTGCCAGTTCCAAGCTCCAGGCTTAGTATAGCACCTAACACAGAATATGCACACAATAAATATTTGCTAAGTTGAGTTGAGCAGAACTGAGCTGATCTAAGCAGAACTAAGCTGAAGGTGCAGCTCCTCTGTTTCAAGGAACTAAAGCAGGGGTATCAAACTCATTTTCACCAGGGGCCACAACCTCACAGTTACCTTCAAAGGGCCAAATGTGATGTTAGGACTATATAAATGTAACTACTTCTTATCTAGGGGCAAGGAGCTCAGCACTGCCATGGGGTAGAAATAAGGTACCAGCAGGATAAAACAAGGTGGAGGAGGGCTAGATTCAGCCCACAGGCCTTGTGTTTGCCACCTGGGAACTACAGCAATCAATGGTTCTCAGCCTCAGGTATACATTGGAATCACCTGAAGAACATTGAAAACTGATGCCTGGACCCTATCCGAAGAAATTCTGCTTAAACTGGTCCAGTCTCCTTTCTCATTTTTGCTACCATTTGTTAGACTAGTGCATAAGGATGTGTATAGTCTTTCTACAGAACTCAGTGAGTGTAATATATGAATAAACCGTGGCCTGAGCACTGGGAAATTTCCAGACTCCCCGGATGTAGGACAGCACTCAGCACAGGCAACACAGCATTCCTTTGTTCATCCCTTTTGTTTAATACACATCCACATCATGAATCAGGACGTCACACTTGGTGCAATTTGAAATTAATTATTGCAAAGAAGTGTCTTTGAATCCTCTAACAGCATTATGATTTTTCTCATGCTTTTCCCTAGAGTATTATCTTCAAAGATGGTAATTGCCCTCATTGAGTACCTTGGCATAGGTGCTTGCATGACCTCTTTCAGAGGGCATGAGAAAGTTCAGAATGAAACTGAGAAGCAGCACCAAAGCTGAAGCTCAGATGTGGTAATAAAAGAACGTGTTATGAGGACAGACTCTCTGGAACTCCTCCTAATGTGAAATCATTCCAGCGTACCGAGGATTTCTAAGGCATTTAAATGTGCCAACCTTATGCCCAGGACATGGTTTACATATCAACAATTATTCTAGCCACTCAAATTATGTATGCAGTTTTTCCTATTACTTTTTAGTTTGGTAGATAAGGACATCACAGCCATTCCAATGAATTTAGTAAATGTAATGTATTGATAAAAACATATTAATGTAAATTAACCCTAATGTAATTTTTAAAGACATAATACTTTTAGAAAAGGGGTTATTATAAATAATGATCTTATAAATCAGTGTCTTATGCTGATAATTTTTTAACATCTGACTTAAAGAAACATTAGTTTTCTAATTAGGAAAAAATGTTTATCTCACAAAGTGAAGGGTTTTTTGTATTATTTATTAATTCCTACTGGGGTTGGATGATTATATTAAGTTCCTTAGCAGGCTCAAATCTCCTTTTTCAATAAAATAAATCCATAACTAATTATGTTTGTTTGCATCTGAATTTACCAAACAATTCATAACTTCTTTACTCCATAAGAAAAAATAGTACACATTAGATTTATATATACTGCAGTTTCCAGAAGAAAACTTATTGTCATAATTCAGTTAATAAAATGCTCCTAGTATTGATGTACTTGAATATACAATAAAAACTCCCCTTTAAAAACAGTGTATGCTCATTTGAATGTGCACCACATATGACAGCCGTTTGGCCAACATTTCTAACAATGAATTTGGAATTCATTGGTTTTGGAATGTTCTTGAGTTTCTGGGTTTGGAATGGTTCTTTAGCTGTAATCACTAAACATCAAATCTGGCTTTGCCTTCATCGGGTTTAAGAGCTAGTGAGTAACGGTAAAACCAAAAAATCAAATTTCAACTAAATTGAAGTATATAGTTTGTTAACCAAAGAGTGCATACTCAATACATAAGATCTATCCCATCATTTGGGACATAATGTTTTACATTGATGCAAAGAAACCATAGCTTTACTTGAGATGAACAAACTAGAGAAAAATTTTTGAATAGAGGAATAAAACATTCCAAAATGCAATATTTTTAGGATATGAGTTAACTTTTAACAGGTTTGTTAGTACCAACTTTATAAAATGTTGACACCGCTTTGCTTTCTTAAACCAAATGTTCAAAGAACTATTCAAATTTTCCTTAATGCCTCAGGAGAATTAACACATTTTGGTTTATCTGGGTTGACAACCAGCAATGGCTTTTGAGGGGCCATTTGTCTCTAAGTACGCTGGTCCACACCCTTTCACTAGGATATCAGAAGACCTGTCAGCTTTCACTGCTTCAGCCAAGAACAAATCCTGCTTCTTGAGGGTTGGCCTGTGTTATTTCTCATTTGGATAGCCTAAGGACAGTCTTTTACACTTTCACTATTCATTCATTCAACAGATGCACTAGAAATATAGTGATGAACAAGATGGTCACTAAATAAGGCCCAAGATCTTTGTGGCAGCTATGAGCAACATAGGGGCTTTGATTTGCTTTTGCCTGTTTCCTGATTGTTGGAAGTCTGGCTTCTCATCTATTAGCTTTACAATGTTGAGAGACCACATAGTCTGCTCCTCTGTTATCTTTCATTTGTATAGCCATATTATGGGTAAAGGTCTAACAAAACCTTTTTCTTTTCTGCAAGAGAATTTTGTCTTAGGTTAACTTCCTTGCTCTGTTCCCCTGGTAAATTGGAAGGAGCCAAATGCCAAATGTGGTTCTAGGCAACATTGTTCATGAGAAAAAAAATCACTGAGTGATAACTTGCATCATACTGAGAAAAATTATAAATTATAAATGTTATATGGGGAGGGACACCATACTTTCAGCTTCCCTGAGCTAGGGGATCCTGGTAACTGGGATCTTGGAGACTATGCCCATGGATTTGTGGGCTCTGTGGAGTATGAGACTTTTAAGCTCAGGTATGTCCCTCACTTGCCCTGTGTACATCACTTTGCTCCAGAGCTGAAACATAAGAAGTTTCCTGTGCATCTGTTGAGTGCTGCATGGACACAGGCCAGAGGAATGCCTGCACTGCTTATTGGCACCTGTGGCTCCTCACACTCTCTGAGTGGCCTTCTGCCAATGGCTGTCTCCTGAGTCTGAATGTTGAAATGATCCTAGATAGACTTCCTGGTAGGCATTGTGCTTTTTCTTCCTGCTTGGGTATCATTGAACTTTTAGAATATACAATAGCTGTCCATGCAACTGTTTTAAATCTTCACATACAGTCATGAAATCTGACCAATAAAAGCAACAAAATTGAATTGATTATGTCCAAAATTTTGTCATGTCTATTATTTTTTGTCCATCAAAGTTTCAAAAAGCACCCTAGTTACCATAGCACTTTACATGTAAAGTCCCACCTTACCTGCTCACTGTACTTGAAACACTTCATGGGAATGTCAGTTTGGGGAAGGGAAGATTCATTTATGCAACAGAATGATATTGTAAGTCATAGTCACTGTCATCCTACAAAAGTTTTCCTAATCTAATGCAATAACAAATAGTCAAAATTTTAAAAATTAAAATATGTGAACAGCATTTATTAATGATTAGACAATATTAAATCAAATTTTTGAAAATATTTAAAGGATGAAAAGACAAGAGAAGCTTGTGGGGACTCAAAGAATCTTCCAAGGGCTTTGGAAAATGAGAGCTCTTTCTTTTGCATAAGCCCATTCTTTAAAGTAGGCCTTTTCTTTTCCTCGATACTGGAAGAGGATATATTTTGGTTTAACAGAACTTTCTAATAATAACAGCCTAAGATTAAAATGACTCTTGAATAATGGAGTTTTCTATTTCTGAAAATCAAAGGTTAAATGACTAAATTATCTGGAGCCCTTCCAATCCTAAAAATCTATATTTAGGGTTCATTCTTGCAATAAATCTTTATTGAGAATCTAAGCACAGAGCATAAATATTTGTACAACTACTGGATGTACTTTGGACTCACAAACAGAACTTAGTGGAAGAAAAGGAAACAGCATCTGAGCGTAACTTTGCAGAATCTGGAAGAAAAACAATGAAAGCTAAGTGGAGAAGCCAGAAAGAAAATGGAGAATTATACCCTAGGACGAAACATGCTTTTGCTGGAAGAAATTTTAGAAACTCCTTGGAATGCAGAATGAGCCCTCCCTGGACCAAGAGGCAAGTCTGAGAGCAGCAGGTTCTCACAGCCAGGCTCACCGCTTGCCTTTGGTTCCCATGGGTATGTAAGCTCAGGGCTAGACCTGAATTGTTTAGGACTTCAGAGGGGCTCTTGAGAAACCCTGTGGAAAAAGAAAATTGTGATAAACCAGATGGACAAAGAAGGAACTTTCATGGCAAGGACAAATCACTGATATAGGAAATTTTATTGTATCTTTTGTGTGTTATATGTAAGGATTATCAGTCCCATCTATTCACATTTCACTCATTCCTCTGTGAAAATGCCTCTGTCCTGGGTAGTGCTGTTAACATACAGTGTTAACTACAGCCTTTAAGTGCATTTAGGATGGAAGCAGAGTCAGCCCAGGAAAGCCTCCTATACCTAGATCACATGGATGAAAGGGGGAAAAATTCTGAAAGCAGATCAAAGAAAATGATAAGGACAGTACATATTAATTAAAATTAGTTAATATTTTGTCATTAATATCAATTAATAATATTCATTATTCTGTTGTTAAATAGTATAATGAGTAACAGTATTGATTAATTAATTAGAAATATTCTTAAAAATGAAGAAGAGATGTCCCCACCAATCACCCCAGGTTCAGGAGCAGGAAATGGGTTCCTGAAATACCATGGGCCCAGTCAGTTCTGAGGAGCTCCAGTGAAGAGCCATCTGAGTGTGGATGTGTACAAGACTGGGGTGGGAGGAACAGGACTCATTCCAAATAGGAATCAGGACCTTCTATCCAAAAAGCAGGGGGAAAGTGCCATAAATGGTACCAAAATATAAAGATCTTTTAAAAATATTTTATTGCTTATAAAACATAGTGATAATTCTGATAGATGGATAAAAACAAACTTACAAGTTACAAAAAATACAAAAATTTTGGTTTCATAATTTATATAATACCATAAATAATACTTTACTAGTATAATAATTTGATTGGTCATAAGATTTTTCTTACTTTTTGCAAATTCATTCATTAGATCATCAAAATCTCTCCCTTCAGCAACTTCACTTTTGATCAATATAAATGAAAGTGACATCTGGCAGTCTAAACAAATAAAAGATTACAGATAATTTCTAATAACTTTTTTAACATTGAGAAGGAAATTTCTGCTGATGCAATTGCTAATGGAACTATTAAGAGAATGTTATTAACAATGACACCATTAAGATATATTCCCAATAAATTTTTTGAAGCATAAATTTGAGTATATCTAGAGCTGATGAATCTCATGAAACAATCTTTCCAAAAATATTTCACCCCCACACAAAGTAGATGTATGTAAGCCTTTATTTATTTTAAATGCAAATGTATGCAATGGCATTTTAATGTTTCCTCTGACATTTCCTATAACTTGTGAATATTTTATAAGAAACCAAAATGTACTTCATGATTTTGTACATAATTCAAAATGTTTGTTTAGGGATTCTGTCACTGTATCTTCAATTACATGGAGGAAATTAATTAAAAAATTGTCTTCCTCACAATAATTGGTTCACAAGAAACTTCAGTTAAAAAATGTTTTTTTTACTGACCTCCCCACCCCACCCCTGTGGCAACCATCAGTTTGTTCTTTGTGTATATGGGTCTGTGTCTGTTTTGTTTTATTAATTTTTTGGTTTGGAGTTTTTTAATATTCCACAAATAAGTGAAATCATTCAGTATTTGTCTTTCTCTGACTATGTATATGTCTTTCTCGACTTAATTCACTTAGTATAATAATCTCTAGGTCCACCCATGTTGTCATAAATGAAAAGATTTCATTCCTTTTTATTGCTGAAAAATAAGTTTTTTACATCCAATTTAAATTTCTATTTCTAAGCTTGTGAATGTTTGCCTTGCAATGTAGCAGCATTTTTCACAGCCAGAAATTCTAAATCTTTAAAGACTGAATAATTCTTTGATGTGCTTTATTACAATGTCCATGTGTATGCTCTTATTTTTTAATGGTTTGCTGTTATCAATTCACTGTCTGAGCACTGCAATTCCTGTTCTGGTGCTCAGAGACATCCTAAGGGACAAGGGGCAAGCCAGCCTTCCCCCGGGGGTCTTGGTGCTGGGACCATATGGAACTTACCTAGC